AAAAATTGGACTATATTGTGTCCATGTTAGTAAGATCTAGTTTAAGTGTAAGTCAGTGTAGCCCAACTGCGGTGAAGAAGCAGGCTGTATGTGCAACAGCAATCAACTGGATTCGTAGTCACACATGAATTGCTGCCTCGGTGTTTGAGGTAGTTTCCCGAAACAACCAAGGTGTTCTGCGCCGATGTACTTGCGACAGCTTGGTCATCATTTCATCAAAGAAGCAAATCGTATGATTATTGGAGCACCTTAATGATGAGTATACTGACTTGCATGTCAGTTGCGAAGTAGAACAGAGGAGATGTCCATTGCTGACATTCTTACAAGTCTCGGGGAGGACGGACACCTTAAGAGTTGTTTCTACAGACGACAACATGGTCCGGCCGGTGTTGACAATCCGCCATTGCAGTACAAAGGAACACAAGTACGCACATGATAAATGGTCACCATAGAAGAGTCGCCAAGCGACAGATCCAACTGCGAGAGCCGAAGGATATGGTGTTCAGTGCGGTGTGAGCAAGTCACCAAAGCTGTTCAGACATGTTGTGTATAAGTGGCTTAGGTCAATTTTGGCTGGCAGACATGTCGTGTTGCCAAACCGAGACCGTAGCACAGCCAAAGAGTTGTTAGACGGCGACTATTCAAATATGCTGATGATATTTGGCTTAGCTCCCAGACATATCGTGCTGCCAGCGAGAGATGTGGATGGAGTTAGTTAGGATTACAATGTTCAGGCCTAAAGGGCTGTGAGACAAGACGTGTTGTCGAATGCGTCATTTGTGCTACCCTATAAAAGTGTGTTTATTGTGCTGCAAATAAATCATTAGTCGAGTCCCAGGTTTACTATTCGCACGACATCCGAAAAGAAAGCATATAGAGCATTACATCTCCATAGTGTATCCGCGGATAGAAGTAGATTTTCGGAAGTTTACGCACCTGTCGTGTGCCTTGTATTCCGACAAGTAATCTTACTTGTTTACAGAAGAGTAGTAGGGTGAGTTGAATGGTACAGGTAAAAATTCATCACATCTAGGCTCACTCAGACAGCTGCCACACGCCCGGAAAAGCACTGTGCGCGCGTTTCATCCTTTCGGGAATCATCAGCAGTGCGCATTCCATCGGACTCTTGGTAGGGCTCGAAACCGCAACTCGACTGTTGCCAGTCCGTGGTTGAGACCACTGAGCTAAGGGGGACGGCAACGACCATCGTGAATACGTTACTAGATGTGATATAGCGCCGCTCACTATCCGCTGACATACACGTTACTTCCGTGCAGAGGACAGGGTAGCCCCCTCACCAAGCGACGAGCTTAACAAAATTAAGCCGCCAATTATCTTATGGCATTATAAGCAGTTTGTTCTGCGTACTGGTTACAGAAGAGTAGTAGGGGGAGTTGAATGGTACAGGTAGAACTTCGTCACATCTCAGCTGAATTTGAATTCAGCCTCTGCGAATACGGTCATTACGACCAGCACTGAAGTGCAGTGTATCCGTGTGCCTCTCTCCCATGCCTGCAGCCCACGACCGACCGTTTCGCCTTGATATGGAATCATCAGGTAGAGATAGCCGAGCTGGGAGTGAAACTCGGCGCATAGTGCTTGGCCGCTATCGCCATAATCACCAGATCATTAAGCTCCGCGAGCAATGCTTGACACAGTGGTTAGGAAGTTGATTTTCGGGTTTTGGAGCACTCGCCCTGTGTCGTGGGTTGCAATATGCATTCTTACGTGTGGCCACAGTTGACTTTGAAGTCAGCCTCTGCCAGTACGGTCACTGGGACCGTGACCGAAGTGGAGGGTTTCGGTGTGGCTCTCTCCCATACTAGCACTTCACGACCGACGGTTCCGTCTTTGTTTAGACTCATCAGATAGAGATAGCCGAGCTGGGAGTGGAACTCAGTGCATAGTGTTTGGCAGCTTTTGACTAGAGCGCTAGGCTTCTGAGCTCCACGAGTAGGGTTTGACAACTTCTCTCGGGTGGTATCACCAGGTTGAGTCCAATTACTTGCAAATTCGTTGCTACGCAAAGCAGTCGCTCAAATGTTTATCATTAAATGCACCAGAGATCTACTGATGCATACAAATTATTTCTGTCGACAAGGGCACTGCTATCGGTCTGGCAGCCATGGTCGTCATACAAGGCAGGTCTGCTTCAATGAACATATGACCCATTTCATTGGCATCAACGTACACGTATCTGAGCAAACTGCACCTAGTCGTACCACACGTATTTCTTCAGACAGTGTTCTACACGTTGAATGATTTATCTCACCCAGGCCTTCTTGCATCAGTAAAACTTGTAGTCGCCCAATTCGTTTAGTGCCACCTCAATCACGATGCTGGAAACTGGGCTGTCGTTTGCCCTCCAGGTCAAGGTGCAAATGTGCAAAAGCATACGGAAATCCCAATAGTCACTTTTCTAATACCAGACGTATGTTTTACCGCGTGTAGATCAAGCTGGTAGGTCGTCTGTCGCTATCGACATGCAGAGTCTACCTACCGACTTGCATCGATTAATTCACAAGTTAGCCAGAGGCTTTTCCCATGCCGAACTGCCATTCAAGAAAGGTAGCAAAAGATGTCCAAATGTGCTTGGTAGCGCACTATGGCTGTCGCGGCAGCATGAACACCGATCGAAGATCAAGTTTCTCGTCTATGTTTGATACGTTGTTTAAGGATTGTTTTGTCTCCACGTCTAATCGACAGAATATCATCCGGCCACTAACGGCCAAGTTCAGAGCTCCGAATGCATACAGACCCTTCAAGATGATAAAGTCGTCCTCTCATCTTCTTTGACTTAAGGAAGACTGTTAAGACTGATCTCGACGCAATACCAGAGCAACTGTCCAACGGCTGCACACTGCGTTTGCCCAAAAGGTTGACATTACCAACACGCTCCAGTTCCTGCTTCGACTACGGAAGTCGTATTAAACGGTTACCTGACCAGACACGTGAGCTGCGCACACGTGCGCCACGATTGCAGAAGACACAGGTGTGCGTGCCCCCAAAGCCGTCTACTTCCCCTTAGGTACTGTTGAGCGAAGACGGTGTGCGACAGTCTCTGCAGTTGCCGCACATCGGGCCCTTCATACTTCTCAACCATGCAAAAGAGACATTTACAATCAACCGCGGTGACCGACAAGAATTTGTCTCAATCGATCGCCTAAAGCCCACTTTCACGGAGCAGTCCGCATCGCCCCATAGCCTAGAAAGTTTTGTTGCGACGTTATAACTAACCGTACCAATTTCCGGCCACCCAGTCTCCACTACTCGGTAGCCGGTCCCGGTCTATAGTCGTCTGCCGTGCCGAGATCTTTCAGACATAACCAGCTTCCATCCAGCAAAAACCATCCTGGTCAGCTGTTTAGTAAGCCCGTTCGTATTTCCGACTACGTACAGTATAACTAAATTTAAGTTTGCAGACATTGTATCTTTTTATCTCGTTTCTGCTCGAATAACTCGTTCACATCAAACCAGATATTTGATAGTTGACGTTCTGGGTATGAGTTGTTTAATCACGGCCGATTGTATCCAACAGGGTTGGCAAATTATCGGTCTGAAGAAAAGCGTAGGTCACATAGCAGCGTGTAAAGATGATCAGAATGGGAGTGCAAGGCAACGATCATGGTACCAACTCTTAGGAAGGAGCAATACATCCAAAAGCGACATTATAAGCACATGTGCATCCAAAAAACTTAAAATGGTATAGGAAGTTCTTCGATGGATAAACATAATCATTTAAGAAATCGATTTACAAGGCTGGCAAACTGACACAACTGGCTGGAACTTTCGCTCTATGAGAAATCAGTTAGTTAACCAAACGTGAAAGCTGTAACTTGATGGAATGAGCACTTCCTGTAATGTTCCTCCTGTCCGTTGTTCCAAGCTCTTCCGTGTCCAACTATTGGAACGCGCCATACTACACCCTTAGAGTTGCAATACAAAATAAATATCTCGTAGAAGACTTGATGCTCAACCGCGTCGTAAGAGGCGAATGGAAGAAGAGCAGCTAAGGAAACACAGAAGAGGGAAGGAGAAAGTGCCGGAGAAGAGTGATAGGGTAAGTCTAAGAAGAAGCAACACTTCTCGACCTCTTACCTTTTAACATGTTATAGTGACGTCCATGGACCAGGTATAATATCATCCTCTTAGCAGACGCTGTTCTCAGCGCCCGTAATGGCCTATACCGGCATTAACTTATGCACCTGCAAGTGTTATTGAGCGAGGTATATTAGGTTTGGGAGATACAATGACAAGCAATACGATAGCAGAAAAGTTAGTCATTACCTCAAGGGCTACCATCTAGCATCGTGGACTGCTATCGTGAACTGGCAGGGTCGCCAATTATGTAACCATCCTCCGGTTCGGCGTACCGAACTATTCGGGGTCGAAATAGTATGACGAGTTCTAAGAGACACTTAGAGCTGCGACACAACATAAATACTCCGTGGAACGTTGGATTCTCAACCGCCTAGTAATCCGCCAATGTAAGGAAGGCAGCTAAGAAAGCACGGAAGAGCGAAGGAAAGGTGCCGGAGAGGAATAAGTGGGTACAGACAATAGGAAGCAAAACTGATCAACTTCTTACCTGTTAACGTCTTACCGTGGCGCCTGCTGACCGGCTACACCAGTTTCGTTGTTCATTTGTGTGGTTGCATTTCGACGCTCAATCTTCGCTCAAATCGTGTTTCACTTTACACTGAGTTTCCGTCAACTCATTTGTTCTGACTTCAATGCGGTAAATGTGTTTGTTGCCCCCTCGAAACTATGCACTCCAAAAGCCGTTTCTGGTCTATCTGGGGATTCGGATCCGGGCGTAGGTAACTTCAATACAAGAGGGACATAATCTGTCAGAACCAGTTATCCCCCATAAATTGATTGATTAACAAGTGCAGGCAATTACAAAACCAATTGTAGGGCAGAGTATTTTGCTGCCTTTACGTCACCTCTGAATATCCAAGCCAATCGATCAACTTGCTCCTGGTCCATGTTCGGTGTCATCACTTGTAAACAAGTGTGTGTCTAAATTAGCGGAGCGTGTTTTCTTGTGTCCATCTCAATCATGGCCCGAAGAAGCGACTGCCATTCGAGGGAGATGGAGGGTGAAATGTAGAAAACAACCTACTCGTTTCCATCAAATGGCATGGTAGCATTGAGAACGATCGAGCATTGAACGCGGGCGCTTGGAGCAGAAGTAAAGTATAGAGGTGATGGCATAACATGCATTCTCATATGATGGAAATGGGCTTCATGCGGTCAAAGTAACAAGCCTGACTTCCGGTGAATGAAATTTTCTTGGTACTGTTGTTTACTTCTCGAAGATGGCAGGCCAGGTGTGGTTAGATGACTGTAAGAGACGAATGTTCTATTTCATGA